GCCTCTCACATATGCTATAGAGAGAGAGAGAGAGAGAGAGAGAGAGAGAGAGAGAGAGAGAGAGAGAGAGAGAGAGAGAGATGTTAGCACCCAAAGAGGCTAGACTCCTTGGTTCCCGCCTTTCCCTATATTTCACTCTGAAAGAAATACAGGCCTTGAGAATACAAAGAGGAAAACAGAAAGAGGGGAAAGTCCTTATGTAGCATGTCCCTCCTAGTCCCTCTTGCATTTGCAGCTGCCCCTTCTGAACATACGGCTCGATATATTGCACACTGTGCTGGATGAAGGCTCATGATGTTCTCATCGTCCACTGCATCGAATCTTCAGAAGAAGGTATGTATGAATTGCCCATAGAGAAATGTATACTTACCATATTCCAGGAGTCTGCCTTTGCCGCGTGTCTTGAGCACTCTTCCAATCCTCATCGTTGACATGTCACGGCAGGCATCAGGGCCACTCCCTTCAGATGGAAATGTGCACGATGATCCTGTTCCTTATATGGCTGCTACTCTCCTCATTGTCCACCCAAAGTACAAAACACATCAATCTAGCAAAACATTACAAAATTTTCAACCAAATTGACCAACAGACAAAACGGCTGTGCGGGCAGACTAGCCTTCCATTCAACCACCTCTCTCAATGCCTGAAAACTCATGCTACCACACCATCCCCTGGAACAACTAGCAGTCCCAGCAAGCAATCGCAACTGCAACTATGTCTTGAGTTGGACGCGTTTCGCACAGTCGTGACCTCGACAATGTTGTTCGTAGTTGTCATCCACTCGGCAGCGTTGTGTTGTAGTATACGCTGTGGATTGACAGTCATTGCACTGCAATTGATAGTTGGCGTCTGCGTCTGCCCAGTGGATCTTCAGCATATGCTATAGGATGCACTCTTCTCTCTGGCAAATAGATCCTATCATGCGTTCTCATGAGCTAGGGCAGACGAGGAAAAGGAAATCCGATCGAGGAAGCACTCACCAAGCGGGGGGCCTTATAACCAGTATAATAACCATACCTGCAGGGCAATGGCACCCAAACAGCAATCTCTGCATCTGCATACATGGAAACCCTCATGCGAAAAGGCAGGAGTTGGCCTTCACAGACCAAAAATGCATCAGATGAAAGCTTCGTCACTGAAGCAAACAGAACTTAATGAGTAGCAAACAAGATGTGAAACCTCGATTCCAACAAATCTCCAGAAGATAAGAGCTCAGCGCCGAGACCCAATAGATACACCATCGCCGAAGCTACGTCGTAGACACTTCATCCTCCTACACAAGAACCAAAGCTACGTTGTCGACACTCCATCCTCCTACATAAGATCCCAGTCACCGCTGAGGGACGACCGCTGACATAACTCTGACAAGTTTCAGCCGGCTGCATAAGCAAGACACCGAAGCGCACAGCTGCTCACGCGAACTCAGCGCCATAGCCTCTCCACCCCTCTTGCTCCCGGAGACAACATTGCGCCCACAGGCACTGCAAAGTTCAGATTGAAACAAATCTCCAGAGGATAAGAGCTCAGCACCGAAAGCCAATATAGGTACACCATAGCCAAAGCTACGTTGTAGGCACTGCATCCTCCTACACAAGATCCCAAGCTACGTTGTGGACATTCCGTCCTCCTAGACAAGTTCCGAGTCCACGCTGCAGGACGAGTGCTGGCGTAGCCCCGACTAGTTTCATCCGACTGCCCAAGCTAGACACCAAATCACACATCTGTTCATGCGAACTCAGCACCATAGCCTCTGCACCCCCTCTTGCTCCAGGAGACATCACTGCCCCCATAGGCACTGCAAAGTCTGGAGGGAAACATCACCCATCCTTGGAAACTTTGCTGCAGTGATCACACACAGAGCTCCATTCTGCATAGCTGATTCCGCCCCTGGCCAACAACTTGCTCTCGTTCTGTCTGTCGGTCAATCACCTCTACAATCCCACTCCTTATATGAACTGAGTGCACATCGATTGTGTGACAAACAGTGCACGATTGCTCACATTGAGACTAAATCCAGTACAACACGCTTTACTCAGGTCTACAGTACCTCCCATTTCGAAGAAGAGAGTGAAAAAGAAAACGGATCACTGTCGATATAAATAAATATACAGCGCGGTGAGTGTTGACTCACCAACTTCGAGATCAGAAAATGACGATTCGTAAAAAGCTAGCTGAGATCCTATTCGGCAAAAACTACCTTCAACGGCGATATGCAGTGGAGAGTCGTTCCCAGGCACGTGACATTTGCCACCGCACTCGGCACTCTGCTCAACTGACACACCTTTACTGTTCAGATAAGCCGTTTTTTTTTCTGATTCAAATGTCAAGAGGCATGTACAAAGCAGATGGAAGATCTCGCACCTGAAATACAGTTCCTGTACCAGATGAGAGACTCAACAGGCTGCTCATCTTCATCTGCCTCCACAGCCTCAGAGGAAAGATTGTTCACGCTCTGTCATCGTCCATAATACCACAAAGGCAACACAAAGATGAGTAGAGCAACATCGACTGCTGCTGGTTGGTAGTTCACCGACGACTTTCGCTATTTGAATATAATGGCTAATGAATAATGAATACATTCAAGTACATTATCCATTATCACAGAAATAACACTCCAGAAAAGTAGGGCAAGACGGAGGAATGCAGTTTTATGGCCAACAGGATGAAAGAGTGCATGTGTCTCTCTGAGTTTGAAGCTTCCTCAGAGGTACCAACTCCGTCTCTAATTGTCCCATCCCAAGAAGCAGAAAAAAACATTCCCATCACCAATGCCCAAGGCACCTTGAAAGTTCCATTGCCGAAGACAGAACGCTGAGAGCGTGCCTTGATTGGCCAGGAAGATACGTTAGATGCTAGAGATTGGCGATCCAAAACAGCAGCCTTCAACGACCAAGTAACATAGTGAAGGAAGTGTATATTATAACCTTATGTCCAGCCAACATGTGCAAGTACTTCTGTATAATATCTACCAGGATGGGTTCCTACCTGGAGAGGGCTATAGCTTGCACAGCACCTGTGTTATATATGACACAAAAAATACCAGATAAGAAAGCCAAGGCAATCCCTGTGTAACAGCTCTATCGGGTTAGTGGTTGGTGATGTATAGGGTGATACCCAGCAAACGCCAAAGCTCCATAGTTAGCTATCAACGGAGGAGTTTCGAGAAATTCAGGAAGCGGAACCCATGCGCTGTGAATACCCAAGCTCCATTGGCTATGGTGGTCAAAAGGTGCCACCATCGATCATTTACAAATTACAACCCAGCTCATCGTTCCCCCGCCCGTCTCCCCCCCCCCCTCAGCATCCCCTTTGTCACAGTCAGCACATACTCACAGAAAACATCCTTGCCTGGCTGTAATTGGCAAATTGCCATCAGATACAACCAACAAAGTCACAGCGTGAGTATGCCCTCAGTCCCCTTTTTCACTAGGATCCGTTTGCTTCGGTTGCTCCGTTCTATCTTCATCTCCTAGGTGTACTTTTTGCTAGCTCTTCTGGCCTACTCTCAATTCCGATAAACATCTACCTCGTAACGTTAACCCTAGCGATTCAAAAAAAGGACACAGGATTATTGCAAACATACGTCTGCTTGATGCTCTCGTCGAAAAGGTGATAATTATCCGAGGGCATGGTTGGTAATTACCACGGTGATAATTACCTGAGGACACGGTAATTACCCAAGGTGACAATTACCATGGCATGAGCAGATCCATTTGTTCACGGAACGATCAATGGCAGGGCGCTTCCCCGAGGATATGGACGAGGATATATCCATTCCTCCACCAACTGCGCTTCCATGAAAGGAACCATGGGGATGAGGATGGAGAAGATGCAAAACCTTTATGTAATCTGTCACGCAGACTACGAAAGGCCGCATCTTTGCAACCGCCTGTCACGACAGACAGGCCCTTATTCTTTCCATAACATCTATATATATAATTACGGTTTGTACTACTACATACAGGGCATAGGCATTTCTTCACAACATTGCAATATGTGTGTGCTTACCTTCACGCTCCCTCGGACAACCGATCCACATTTTTTGGGACGTCTGTATGTAGGCATAAACCCTGCGAAGGAGGGATGGCTATCTGCCGTGGTGCGCGCTCGATGGCTGAGAATCCTTCAAAACTTCTTCGGAACTCCAATCTCTGCCGTGGTGCGCGATCGATGGCTGAGAATCCTTCAAAACCTCTCCGGAACTCCACTCTCCCACGGTGTCACTGCCAGCAACCTTTTTCCCTGCGCTTACTTTCGGAGGCAGACCTGCAACATTCCGCCTGGCAGCCCTCATCCCGGCAGCCCCGAGCGTCGCTGGGGATGCTGGCGCAGAGGGCGATCTCTGAGGTTCCCCTTCGCACTGCTTTATCTCAGTTTTTTCGACATTACCCATTGGTACGAAAGCCAATGCATGACTTGGTGTGGTCCCCCCGCTTCCTGGCATAGATCTACATTCCAGAACCTTTCCAGTGGACGAGTCTACCGATGACATCCTCTTGTGTTCTCCACTGACACCCAACGCTGGACTGTGCACACTATCCGGTCTCAAGAAGCCAGAAAAGCCGACTGCCTCATGAAATGAGGCTGCTTTCAGTATCAGCGGTGATCTTCTTGGCGTGGCCGCTTCACCCTCCTTGCGCTTCATCGATGCCCTCGGCTGTACATTTTCCTCTTGCCGCTGCATACGCTGTATTTCCTGGACGATGTGGTGGTCATCTGGAAGCCAGTTCCTGTACGGTAAGCACCCAAACAACGATAGTCCACAGTGAGGAAGACATTGATAAGAGAAAAGCCTAAGCGTAGTCGCATTCTCCAAACAAGAGGATGATGCACTAAAACTATAACCTGAACAAATGCAGTCTATAGACTCTATACCAGTCAGTCAGTCACATCAGGAAAAACCTGGACATCGGATGCGGCAGCAAACCAATACTCACTGTGAGCTATCGGGGCAGAGGAGAGGAACCAATCATTCAACTTGCCTATTGGTTTGCTTAGCTTGTGCAATGGAACAAAGGATAAACAGAGAAAATTGGCCCCAATGGGCCTACTGTCTTCACCTGAATAGAACATCCGGTCATTATAGCTGAATTTGGTGCAGATATGGTAATAGTGACCAGGCGTTCTATTCGGGTGAATACGGTGGTGGCGTCATTCAGTCGGCTGGAATGCAGGGATGTTGCATGGAGGAAAGTAACCTGCATATGCAACATCCCTGCATATCTCAACTTGGGAAAAGAGTTATGAGAATATTCGCCCTGACCGGATTGACGATCCAGGACCATCCAGCAATGGATGTCGTACAAGACTGCCTTGGATCCAAATGCCTACTGGGAACCAGGCTTATTTCCCAAAACTGTACTGTCCAGTGGTGAAGAAAGTTGTCTGTTGTTACTTGCCTGTGGGGCACAGTTGGAGGGAGGGGGGGAATGTGCTTTAAACCAGCAGTGCCCTGCCCAGCTACCCCTGCGCACTCACTCACTTGTTAACCACGGACATGGAAATGCTCGGCCACCTGGCGCAGGGCAATCTTGCATTTCTTAACATTGCCAGCTCTCATATTCTCGCTAGAAAAAATCTGGGAAAAAAAAAAGCTGAAAGAACTCCAAAGACGTCATATAGACGTAGAGACATGATGTTGTGTAAGTTGGGCTACCGGCCGTGCCGCCCGGGTCAACTTGGTTGCCCTGGCGGCTCGGCCGGGCAAGAGCCAGGAGGAGGAATCACTGAGAAGAGAAGATGTACAGCCATAGATAGTAGTCATACCAAGTAGAGAGGGGCGGTGGAGTGAGCTTTAGGACAGCTCTTTCAAGTCTGGCAGTAAGGGGCATCAATTGGACATTGATTTTTTTTTTTAATAATAAAATTTTCCATTTGGAGCATTTCTCAATTTATGCATGTCATCCTTTCACAGGGGCCATGCTAATCTTCTCTGTATCGCTCCTATTTTTATGGATGTCCCCAAGGACATTAATTGAATTTAATTCTTTTTTTTTTTTTTTTCCCTTCTTTTTCTTGTTCATGCGTTCGTTGTTGTTCTTATTTATTATCGATAAAGAAACTGAGGAGATGATGGAGGGCGACATAACGGTGGCGAGATAAGGAGGAAGTTGACATTGGCTCCATCTTGTCTTCTGCTTGTCCTGTTATACTTTCTTCTCTCATCCATTCTTCACCCCTCCTCAGCTTAATCTTCTTCTTTTTAAGTTGCGCTGGTTGGCATTGTCTCACATTTAAGTTTTGCAACATAAAATGGACTTGATCGTAGCACTGGTATTTCCAGATATGAACACAGCATATGCAGTGCAACAGTTCGTTTCGACTATTCACCGCACTCCTTCCACCATGCCGTGTAGCACAAGTATGGTTTCCACAGTACTACTCCAGGCAGTCTAGCACACACCTAACACAGATGAGAGTTGCTGGGACATTACGTAAGTCCAGAAAGAGTGTAGGCAGAAAAGTGTGTGGACAAAGTCCACAGAACCATACACACCTCACGAATGACCGCATGACAAAGTCTGGCAGAAGGGCCATGATAACAACAACAATCACGACGAGGTAGAATGACGGCGCTGTACCGACATCGCTCACAAAGATGCGGCGAATCGGGCCCACCAGTTTGTACGGGAATTCTCCGACAGCGAGCAAGAAGATGAACCAGATGCAAATGCTGCCCCAGACTGTGAAATGATGAAGCCATGTCCAAAACTGGATAGCAATTGCAAGTTGAAGGTTCACAGTCATCACCACGCAGGTGTACATCGTCGTGCCAACGTGATACATGCCCACAGTTTTGCCATCATCCCTGTCAGACCGCAGCTGGTAAAAGGCCTTCAGAGAAAAAAAAATGACCGATGACTGAGAGCAGTTGCGACAACAAAATACACGGCAAAACGCAACACAAAAGGCGTCTAAGAAGTCAGATGCCTGGGGCAGCAGTTCAGAGACACAGGAGTTGATACAACGGATCATTTTGCTTTAGTCCTTTACTGTGGCAGAACCAACCTGCCCTCCTGTGTAATAGGAACCAACTCCCTTTCCGTGTTAAAAGAAACAACTATCAACACTACAAAAGATTTAATAAAAGTAACTCAGATTACCAGATAGGCAAATACACAAAAGGCGTCGAAACAGTCAGATGCCTGGGGCAGCAGTACAGAGACACAGGAGTTGAACATGATACAAGTTATACAACTGATGATTTTGCTCTAGTACTTTTCTGTCGCCGAACCAACCTGCCCTCCTGTAATAAGAACAAATCGCCTTTCCGTGCCGAAAGAAACAACTATCAAACTTCAAAAGATTTGAAGCTACCTCAGATTACCACCAGATACCAAGGGGGCTAGTTCAGTTCGTAACTTGGTACACCCATGGACAGTTGAAATACAGACCTCAGTACGAATCCCAATGAGCTCAGATGAGTAAATAACTCCGACCTTAGCCTTAACCGGGGGCTGGTCGGTTTGAAGTCGATATCTCGAGACCATAGCCATTTTAAGAAAAACAAAACAAAAAAAAAATCCCATTGTCACCAGATATAAATTACATTGTCACTAGTGAAGGGTCACGTGCTGAACGAGGCAAGCGACCACCTAGATCTTCCTTAAAACACCACTGAATCGAACAGGGACTGTGGCCTCACTGCAAGACGCACAAGTCATTGGTTGCTGGCACATTGACAGCAAGAGCTCCTCAGAGCAAACAGAAAGAGGAATTTGTGCTCTCGCCACCAAGGCCTAACACTCTGCAACTCTATGCTCAATAAAAAGGTAGGTTGGCACGTGCAACACCAAGGGTTGGATATCCTCTGTTGAAACCCAAAGCGAGAAGTCCACACCCTACTCAACACCAAATAAGAAAGTCGGCAGGGCACAGTGCCATGGCCTTGACATCACCATCACCATCCCATCATCGGCTGCCTTTGTTCTCTTCTTGTTCTTTATACTCTTGCTGGTTTCTTCTTCTTCATTTTCTTCTTCCGACTCCTTGTCTTCCTCCTGCAGGACTAATCTTTCATAATTACAAGTACATATGTCGGTGTTAGAAGTCCGGAAGCTTCATATTCGAACCGAGAACCTAAGGATTGGATACACTATTTGAAGTTTTGAACCCAAAGTTAGCGAGTTCCAGACCTCCCAAGACCACGCTGAAGTCATCATCGTTATTCTCATTTCCTGCTTCTTTCCCCCTCTTTCTTCCCCTTTGAAGGTGAAAAGTACGGAGGTGCAATAACCAATTATCAGAGTTTGACATGGACCATCCAATCCATTTATTCAAATTCCTTGGGCTCCGACGTCGAGAGGCAGATCGGTCATCATCATCATTCCCATCGTACCCCCGCCAACAGAAACCATTCATTTCTCTGTCCGTTTGTGCACTTCCATAAAGAACGGCCACGCGTTAGAAAGTTTCAGAGTGTGATTTGTTAACCACATGTCTTCAACCCTGTAAGAGGCCTTTTTTCTTCGTAAATAAATGCAAGGAAAATGAGCAAGAGCGAAATGACAGAAATTCCAAATTGCAATATCACATTGAAAGCCAGGTAATCGTAGGCTATCCAGAAAGCAGAAATGCACTGATATCACACTGAAGGAGCACCAAATCAGCCAACTCGATTGTCAATGAAAGCATTCTTTCGACCCTACCAACAATCTACTCGAAGCTCTTCCTCCCACTAGCGCTCAGCACCCAGACCACTATCCTACAGCTACTACGCTAGCCTACAGAAATGACGAAGCAAAGTTGACGTCAGCAGCAGCGACCAAAGCACACGCAGATATCGACCATGCAGACCTCTGCCAGGCCAAGGTACGTGCTCTCACATCCCCTCCACACCGCCATCTCTATGCTCACCCTCGTCTTCTCCATTCACATCCAAAGACCACCGCCTTTCCCCTCTTACTACCCCCAAGCCCCCGCCTGGCTCAGGCGGCTGGGCTCTGTCGCTGTTTACAAGCAGCGCCCACCTTCACCCCGCGCCTGTGCACACTCCCAACACTCAGTGCTAGCTAGCAGGCGCGAGCAATCCCTCCAGCCGCGCTGCCGCTTGCACAGCCAAGTGCCCGAAGGCCCCCTTCGACGCCTCGCCCTTTCCTATATGGAAAGAAGCCGGGCTCAGCCGCTCTCCTGCTGGGTGGACCGAGTGCCCAGTAGCTTCATGCTGGGCCAAAGTGTCTGAGCCCAGGCCCGTTCAGACAGTGGCCTGGGCCCGCAGCAGTTAGGTGCATCCAACCGCCCAGTGCCCTGTGAGGTATTCCCCGCTCTCTGATAGGCCGAGGCTGATGCTCGCGAGCAGGCAGTATGTAACCAACTGGTGCGTGGTAACTGTCTGGTGCCCACAAGGCCTGGCAGATTTTGAGATACGTGGCCCGCCTTCACTTAGGGCCGCCACAGTGCTTGCAGCAGGGGGGCCCTTACTCGCACAAAGCTGTCTTCTCCTCATATGGGAGACGGGCTGTATTAACTACACTATTCTCCTCTCTCAATAACCCCCTTTCACCAACTACCTGTCCTGTTATTTTATCCCTCCCTCCCTTTGTGCAGTTCGATAAAGAACAAGCAGAAGTTAAAAAACTTAACACTGAGACTAGCTAACGACCTGTCTTAGACACTGGAAGAGGCCCTTTTATTTTACTGCTCCAGAAATCTGGACAATGGAAATCCCACAGGTACCATCAGGCTGATGCCACGGAAAAGGTCATCCCGGAGCAACGCCACAGCCCAGACATGGCCTCGTAAGCAGAAAAGAGCAATGGATCTGGAAGCACAAACCTACGAAATGAGTAATCACCGATGCTGTTTCCTGTAACGCCGCAAGACGGCGGTGCGGAGGGAAGATAGAAAGGGAAGGGCCAGTGGTGGGGGGTGCTGTTTTCTAATCCTCCATACCTCATGTCAATGACTGTCATGCCTAACCCAGTTATTGTGTCTGTCAATGACTGTCATGCCTAACCTCAGACCAACAAATGACCGGCACCGGCTGCAGCAAATGGATTGCTTATTGTGTATTCTACTATTCTCAGAAACGAAGGGATTTTACCACACTTGAAACCGCACGAGCCGCACGTTGCTCATTGATGATAGTTGAGCCCTTCGACCATGACACTGCTGAAACGGTTTCAACCAGTTGACACAACATTTGCAGACACTGAGATTCGATCCCAGTCCTATGCCTGAGCCCTGTACATTGACCCTGTGTGCTGAGTGAGATTCGATCCCTAGACCTATGCCTGTGCCCTGTACAATCACCCGGTGACTGTGTGAGATTCGAACCCTCGACCTATCCTGTGTCATAGGTTAGGCTGTAGGAAGGGAAGTGGAGCTTGGTTCCTAGGTCTGTAGGTCGGTACTTAAGTCTGTTACCATTAGTTTAGGAAGGTCTGTTCTAGAAGTCTCTACTTACCTCTTCCTAGGCCTAAGAGTCAGTCCATAGGTAACAGTCCGTAGGCTCTAGGTTACAGAAGAGTCTGTCCGGAAGAGTCTGTCTGAGTCAGCAAGTACCAGGGCTGCACGTGGGGGAAGGATCTGGCCGCACGGTATACAGAAGGCTCCGGAAACGCGTTCTGGGCCCACACGTTGTGGGCCTACCAGGCCTACGTGGTCTGGAAGTTTCCGGGCCCAGGGCCCCACGCGTCTTGGCCCAGGCCCACGCGTTTTGGGACAGGACCCGACCACCTCCGAAGCAGTATAAATAAAGAGGCAGCGTCCAGCCATTCATTCATTCGCCTGTGAGCCATGCGGAAGTGCTGCCTTGGTGACTTGTGCGTGGTCTGCTGGTGCCCGGAGCTGAAATGGGCAGTGAGGAAGACAACGGCCATAGCTGGCCAGGAGGAGGACAACGGCAGCCATAGGTAGGACGAGGAAGACGATGGTGGCCATAGCCGCCCAGCTGTTGTCACAGACAGAGTGTACAGAGTGTGTGTGGCTGTGTAATGTGGACATTCAGGGTAGATCCTCGTACATGTGCACGAGGGAGAGTGAGGCTGGGGTGGAGACAGTGTTCGGCGGCCATAGCCGCAAGTTGTACAGTTGACTTGAACAGACTTTAAGTGCAAGTTCGTTGTTGAAGAGTTTGGTTTTGCCATCAGTTCGCGTGTATGCATGTTGAAAGCAAGTTTGGAGTGCAGTCTGATTTCAGTGCTGACAACAGTCGAAGAATATTGTGTACTGCCCAGCCATATCGAGCACGTCATCGTGGGCAGCTCTAAAGAACCGATTTTTCATTTTCGGGCGGATCAGCAGCACCAAAACCAGCCCGCATCCGGTGTGACTGGCGTGAGGCTGAGGGTGAGCCAAGGGAGAGGAGAGAGAGGGAGAGAGTGAGAGCACACACACACTCACTCACTCGACACCACGGACTCGGACTGAGGGTCGGACGCAGACACAGTGGCAAGGCACAAAGTCGAAGTCTTGGATTCCAAATGCCGAAACAGCAAGTCACACTGAGTACGAGTACAGCAGCAGAAAACTGGTACGAGACGGGTCCCCGTACCGTACGGGGAACCGTACCAGGGGCATTTCTGCAAAGGCCCCGAGGGCAGAACTGAAAAATGCAGTATTTGAAAGTGGCGCCCGAATTGCAGCATGGCGCCAGTTGTCCAAAATCCTACGGTACCAAAGGAGGGGTTTGGAAAGGGTGCCAGGCCGAAAATGGAATGCAGCCAAAACAGCAAAAAGATAGACCAGGGATCGAGCCCTGGTGAAGTCCGTAACATCCGGGCTCGTTTTTGTTTTCCAGTCTTTTCGGTTGAGGCAGGTTAGAAATCAGGTTCCGGAGAGGTTCAAAGGGGCATACCTCAATTTGATATTCTATAATTCTATTTTATTTTCTAGCCCTAATGTCTTTTGGGGATCATTTGCACAGAATTTCCACGCCCAAAGTGATACTCCGCCAAAACTCGGTTGTATCACAATTCCAGTTTTTTTTCTTTTTTCGGGTCTGAGGCCTCACTATGTCCATTCTTGGGAGCATCAGTCTGGTTCCTTTTCGGCTGTCAAGTGATACTCCCTTTACATCACACGCGCTTCCTTTCTTTAGTCTGGCGGAAGGACCCCCGATCCGAGTCCATTACTCCGTAAATGGAGGATTGACTGTCAGCTTGCCGTTCCCATATGCATCCCTCTCAGGCCCTGTCCCGAGTCTTTACGGCCTGAACCAGAGCTTTGTAGAAAAAGTATTAGTGCGAGTATGCCCTGAGATTGAAAGCCAGCCACAAATAGCATAGAGTGCCATTCTCTGGCTCCCATATCTCTATGGCGCCCTGAGTTTCTCCTTGCTGGAGGCTGACATTCATCGCCACTGATGCCTCTGACTTGTGCCAATCATTCCACTGGATGCGTAGTCTTTGAACCGTTGTGACCTTTTACCCTTTGCAAGCCATTTCTTTCCAGATTGCTTCAATTAAAAAAAATAAAAAAATTTTGATTGTTGTTTTTGGGATGGGGCTGCCGGGGACCTGCCCACGATCTCGACCTGGCAGATCATCTGTGCAGTCAGAGGTGCCCCAGGCGCCCGGCCCGGCCATCGGGCAAGTCCGGGGCAGCCTAGGCGGCCTGATATCTTAGGTATTCACTGTTCAAGCATCCACAGACCGAACACAGTGTCTGTACATTTACCAATCATACTTGCACGTTTTCGGAGCATTCTGCAAGAATAATGTGTAACGACCTGCAAAAACACAGACTGATAACACTGCTGATTTCTGAGTTCTGCTGCGGGGAAATCACAGCACACATTCCAGCGGCAAAACTCAGAAATCAGCAGTGTCAGCTGGAATGTGTGCCGTGCTGAGATTCCCGCAGCAAAACTCAGAAATCAGCAGTGTCCTCAGTCTGTGTTTTCGCAGGTCATTACACACGGATAGAAGCAGGCAACTCCATCTACGAGAAGTCACCTACTTAAAAGTTTACATTTAGCGTTATACATTGGATCATAAGGAATATATAAATTGAGTTTAACTGAAAAAGAGTGCAAAGCTGTGTGGGGATCCGGGCAGTACACACATTACAGCGGCAAAACTCAGAAATCAGCAGTGTCAGCTGGAATGTCTGCCGTGCTGAGATTCCCGCAGAAAAACTCAGAAATCAGCAGTGTTCTCAGTCTGTGTTTTCGCAGGTCATTACAAACGGATAGAAGCAGGCAACACCATCTACGAAAAGTCACCTACTTAAAAGTTTACATTTAGCGTTATACATTGGATCATAAGGAATATATAAATTGAGTTTAACTGACTGTAAAGAGTGCAAAGCTGTGTGGGGATCCGGCCCGCCCGGCTGACAGTCGGGGGCCCGGGGGAGGTCCCGGGCGGCCTGGCCAGGCAGGGCACCCGGTTGGGGGCCGGGCCCCCCCAGCGCACTCACCTGTCTGGGGGTCCTGAACCCCCTTTTAGCTGCTGTTGGCCTCCCGCAGGCCTACCGGGTCCGACTGGCCCGAAAAACCGTCCCGTCGGGCCCGGTATGCCTGCGGTATTTTTGAAAATTTGTGACAGCTCTGTGGCCGTCGATCCACCATGATCGACGGCCACAGAGCCAGTGGATCTAGGCGCCAAACATCCCCCGGCACGATCGGAGTTGCTCCTGCGCCCCCCGGCTCGATCGGAGTTGCTCCTGCGCCCCCCGGCTCGATCGGAGTTGCTCCTGCGCCGTCGCCCGTCCCCCGTCGCCCCATCGCCATTGAGAGTCCTGCTGCAGCTGCTACGGCGAAGGCCCCAACTGTCCTGCTGCTGCTGCTGCTACGATGAAGGCCCCGACTGTTCTGCTGCTGCTGCTATGACGAAGGCCCCGACTGTCCTGCTGCTGCTGCTACGACGAAGGCCCCGACTGTCCTGCTGCTGCTGCTACAACAAAGGCCCCAACGACGAAGGCGCCATTCTTCTTCTTCTTCTTCTTCTTCTTCTTCTTCTTCTTCCTATTGTAATCATTTAGGGTTCTGTTGGACGGACAGACGAACGCCCTGCTGCTGGGTAATTGTTGCAGGTAACGACGAAGGCCCTGACAAACTTCTTCTTCTTCTTCTTCTTCTTCTCTCCTCCTCCTCATCTTCTTCGGCTTCCCCTCGTCCCCCTCGCATTTTCATCTTCCTCAACGTTTCTTCTTCTTCATCATCTTCCTCTTCTTCTTCTTCTTCTCCTCCTTCTTCTTCTCCTTCTTCGTCAACATTCGGTAGGTCACGTGAGACACGACAGGTGAAAAACAAACAAAAAAAAGAAGGTCGTCCTCCTCCCCCTCCTCCGCTTATCTTCTTCTTCTCCTCCTCTTCTCGTCGTCCTAACGACGTCAAATATTGCTATGGATTGCTTTTTTTGCATCTTTTGCAGTGAAAGTACCTATGGTACCAGTTCATATTTGGTTACCTGAAGCTCATGTAGAAGCACCCACTGCTGGATCTGTTATCTTGGCGGGAACAAGTAGTAAACAAATAAAAATAGGTATTATAGTGCCATTAAAGAAAGGAGCACACAGAAAGTGTCCAAATAAGCGTAGAACGCTGAGTAGTGGAGCCCAGGATAGTCGCGGTGGGTGATTAGGACTCTGAAAAGAGTCTGAAGAGCCTATTAGCCTGGAGTGGCTATTGCGGATAACGGGAATCAAACCCATATCCCCTGCTTGGAAGGCAGACAATTTACCTTTCTTCTTCTAGTCCGTCGACATTCGGTAGGTCACGTGATACACGACAGGTTAAAAAGAAAAGAAAAAACGGAGGCTGTCCTCCTTCCCTTCCTCCACTGATCTTCTTCGTCTTCTCCTTCTCTTCCCCTCCTCCTCCTTCTTCTTCTTCTTCTGCTCCATTCGTTAGGTCTTCTCCTCTCCTCTTCTTCTTCTTCCCCTCCTTCTTCTTCTTCCCCTCCTCCTCATTCTCCTTCTTCTTCTTCTTCTTCTTCTTCTTCTTCTTCTTCTTCTGCTCCATTCGTTAGGTCTTCTCCTCTCCTCTTCTTCTTCTTCCCCTCCTTCTCTACTCCCTCCCTGCCTTTCTCCATCCTCCCATCCATCTATCCCTCTATCCATCCCATCTCGCCATCCTCCATCATCCACCCCTCAAAACCAAAATTTTATTGCGGATTCGGGGTCCTCTCCCCGAGTGCAGAAGGACCTGATTAAAAAAAAATAAAATAAAAAAATTCTGGGCATTTTTTTGACCCGCCCGGTTTACCCGGGCCCAACCGGCCGGGCGGCGTCCTCACCCAGGTGCAAAGTAAAATAACCAAAGCTCTTCTCTTCTGATTCTGAAGGAGCCATATATGCTGCAGTGTCCCGAACTCACCTGCATCACCCCATTCAACAGCCACACAGAAATATTCTTGACATTGAAGTACGTGTTCTTCTGGCCCTGCCAGACAACAAGGGAAGAGGCAAAAGACTCAGAACGTGGCAACAATACACAGGTAGCTGACAACTGCAAAGGACATTTTCAAAACATGAGACTTGAACAGAAGCATCAAAAGCCCTAAGCTGTCCGAAAGGGCATAACAGGAGATTAGGTAGGAAGGCTCGTTCCACACTCTGCAGTCAACACTCCTACGACGCTAGCTCTCGCAACTGCCTACTTGAAGGTGCTCACCGGCCTAGAAATTATTGCAGATACTTCCTGAGTTTTTTCAACTTTTTGCCTTATCAAGAGATTCCATAGCAAACCGACTCTGGTCCCATTTGGTCCCAAGTCCCAGTTCTAGTCCCATTCCCAATTCAATGTAACATATTTCTGCGTCCCATGTAGGGTCCAGTTCCAGCAGCTCAGGAGGCTATTCCAGGTAGACTCCGGTAAGTATCAGTAAGCTAGGAAATTCGGTAGAACCGTAGAAGTTCAATCCAGCCTGTCTGTCAGTCTGTCCTAGTCAGCTGCCAAGTCCCCGGAAAAGTAACTAGATCATACACACACACACACACACACACACACAAAATCAGTTGTAGGTATGGTTGTTTTCCCCCCTTCACCTTTTTTTTTTGTATGGTTGTCTTCCCCCTTTCTCCTATTTTTTTTTCAAAGTGTATTTTTTTGTCTGCCCAACTGAGCACCTGTAAGCAGTGCCAAACAGTCGGTCGTTTTCCACGTTTGGAGTGCATACAACACTCTTAGGAGGGCTGCTCAGTTCGGGATGGCTGTCTGCCCTACGGGTGATGACAGACGTATCTGGGATCCGTTCGTACGTTGGCATGCCAGTTCAAGTCTTGGACTAATGTTTGGTTGCATGCAGCCTTCGGTGAGCTGCTTTGGAAAAGGTCGTCTGATGTGAAGCATTCGTGCTGCGGTCTTATTCATCTTACCACACGGCGCACACACACACACACACACACACACACACACACACACACACACACACACACACACACAGATGACCGCACAGGTGCAGCCCATACTTTTTTTTTTTTGGTAGTTCTTTATTGAAAAACCGACTCAATCAATCGATTTTCTATATCTATACTCTTACTAAAAAGTAAGCCGTGTCTCACATGACACTCCCTTTAGGCCCAACTGCCTGCCTTGGGAAAACAGTCGGGACAGGGGGGCGGGCCCAAGGAAATGCCATGGCGAACGGTGTGTCCGCCATAGGACCTCCTCCACTACTCACTATGGCAGTGTATCTTCCCGTTTCCTAGCAGAAAATTCGCTCTCAGTTTGGACATTCGGAGTAGTGGAGCGAGACCCACGTACATTTGTTCGATCCTGTTTTTTTTTTTTTTTGCCTTTAGATTCGTTGTGTTTTGTTTTTTTTGTCGGAACTCTCTTTCCATTTACATGTGTCCTGCTTGGGCAGGGGCCATGCGGCCTCACTCCACTACTCACTTCATGTGCAAAATGAGAACGAATCTTCCACTAGAAAATGGGAAGATAGGCTGCCGTATTTTGTCTTTTGTGCATGCGGTGACTACTGGAGTGAGGCCCCAAACATCGACTCAGGCCGTACCATGATCATCGGCCTTTATTCACTACTCTCTCCGCATGCACAAAACTTGACAAAAGACAAAATATGGCGGTGTATCTTTCCATGTTCTACTGGAGGATTCATTCTCATTGCTTTTATGCACGTGGAGAGTAGTGGGGCGAGGCCTGTGGGTCACAGATGTCGGGCTTGAATCCCGATGCCTCTGGACCAGATTGCGGTCAGATTCCTCCACATGTCGCCCTAAAACAACGCTGCGGCATTGCTGCCATTATGCTGGTGCTTTTTTTTTTCTTTTTTTTCTTGTTAAGGATGATGGCCTTGAGATAGGATCGTTGAACTCACCGGCCCCAGGTAATACAGAATTTTAGTATTTTACTCATCTGCCTTTGGGGGAGTTCGAGCTCAGGTCTGTATTCCAACAGTGCAGGGGAGTACCAACTGAGATAGACCTGTTGGTAGCTGGTGTGTTTCGGTTTGGCATAGTGCTTTTTTCTTCTTTTTTTTTTTGGGCGCAAAACGGTTGAAAGTTGAACCAATAAAACCAAGAAAGGTTGTGTTTCGGTTTGGCTGTCCAGGGTCGTTATACCACCTGCCCCGCGCGACATGATGGAATCTATTGAATCAATTCAATCGTGTTTCAAAATTCAACTCAATTGCCATTCAATGCGATTCAATTGATTCAAGTGATTCAAGTGATTAAATCCATTGTGTAAGTGTGTGTGCATCTGTGTCATCTGTGTGTGTGTGTGTGGGTGGGTGGGTGTGTGTGTGTGAGAGAGAGAGAGAGAGAGAGAG